CCTCCAGTGTATCTGAACTTTTTCTTCTTCCCTTAATGCCTGCCCTTCAGTAGAAAGAGCTAAGGGAGTTTCCTTCTCAAGAGATCAGTAGCTGTTCCCATTTTAGAGGCCTAAGGAACTCGAAGTTTCAGGCCTCAACCCACCCAACATCTGATCAGTGGGACCTAAATGCACACTGTGAGAAAGACTTATTGAAAAGAGAGGTTATAAAAAAAAGATAATGACTTATAAAATAATAACCAACATCTACCAAATGCTTAGCGTGCCCATATCACAGATAAGAAAACTGTGGTGCAGAGAGATGGAGTGATTTATCCAGAGACCACGGGAAATGAACAGCTGAGCCCTGTTTAAAGCCAGTGCGACTCTTTAAGGCTGGAGGCAAAGCAGTACATTTGTATGTTTCCTGTATGGCTTCTCACTGGTCACCCTGGGGGCTGAGCATTAGTGTGCTCATTTGCTGAAAGGGAAAGCTGAGGGCAATGGCCGCAAGGGGGGGGGGCGTGGGGGGCGGGGGGGGGGGGGGGGGGGGGTTGTTTGTGTTTGCAGGGAGGTGGTGGATGTGCCACTGAGCTACACACCTTGCCCTTTCTGTTTCTTATTTTGAGACAGGGTTTTGCTAAATTGCTCATACTGGCCTTGAACTCTCCATCCTCCTGCCTCAGCCTCCCAGTAGCTGGGATTACAGACCTGGGGGTCTGGGATTACAAATCTGCAGAAGGCGCAGAACCAAAGGTGGGTTACCCCCTTTGGTAACCCACACCTGCTGTGGCAGGAGCATTTGGAAGTCTAAAGACTGGCCATTCCCTGTGCAGGCCCAGGACCTGCAGTGAGTGCAGCTTCTGTGGCCCTCACCTGGCCTCCCCTGGCCCTCCCCCAGTGCAACCGGAGGAGGGGGGCTTCTTGCAGAGGCGCAGCCCTGGCTTCAGGCTCCACCTGCAGTGACCTCAGGCCAGCCTCTCCCGCCTTCCCCTTAACCTCTATCCGCTGTGAAATGGGGAGCTGGAGCTCAGGGTTCAGGAGGTCTTCAGGAACCTGTGAAGGGGCATGGCTAGCCCTGAGCGTCTAGAATCTCACAAGCATGGGGACTGTCCCCCAAGAACCACAGCTGTGACCCTGAGTGACCTAAGTATTTCCCTGCTGTGTCACTCTGAAGGGATTCCAGGGAATATGCCCATCCCACTGACGGTTGGTCTTCCCCATTCCTTCTTCACCCCGCACAGGTAAGAAAAATGAGCTCAGAGAGGAGTAGCCTTTTGCCTGAGGTCACACAGCGAATGTCTGGGGGGGGTGGAGAGCCGTGTTGTGGAATTCCTGGCGGACGTTGGCGCCCGCTTGTCTGCCCGCTTCTGATACCCGGGTTCGGGAGAATAGGCCGCTAACAAGCGGCCCATTAGAAGGAATTGTCACTCCTCTGGGAGCGAGGTTGTCCCATTAGGGCGAATTGTCATTCCTCCTGGAGTGAGGTTGTCCCGGCTCCGCGCCGGCTGAGTGCCGGGGCCGAGAGCAATTAACGCGGCTCCGGCGCGGGCAGCCGCCTCTGCCCGGGGCAGCGGGGGCGGGGCGCCCGGCGCGGCTGGAGCCGGTCACCCGGCGCAGCCCCTTCCCCCGGAGCCCGCCTTTCATCTCCCCGCGCCTGGCGCCTGCCCGCAGCCCTGGCCCGTCTACAGCCCCTTCGCTGCCCCTCCCCCTCCTCCTAGCCTCGGGGATCCAGCGACCAGTCCTCGGGGTTACTTGCGCTGCCGTCTACGCGCCGCGCTCCACGATTTGCAAGGAGGGTCTTCCCACTGTGACTCGGAGCGCGCGTGCGCGGCTGCTCCGCCAACGAGCCCGGTCGGTGCGAAACGCCCCGCGGAGCGAGGGAAGGTGGGGGTCGGAAAATCCGCGCGCCGAGGCCCCGGGGGATTAGCGGGTCTCCCACCTCCTACCTGGGTGACCCCGGGCGGCGCTCTTAGCACTTCCTAGTCCAAGGCTTTTCATCTGTAAAATGTGTGTGGGGAGGGGGGTCGGTGGGGACGACCCCGGCCCTTAGGGGTGTGTTGGAAGCAAGAAATGAGATCCTAGGCCGATCTGGGTACTTAAGCATCCGGCAGAGTTGACGCTCCGGGGTAGCTGAGTTCTGATGGGACCCCCCGCTTTTCTGCTTTCAGAAAAGCTATGGAAACCTCCCCGGAAACCAGCATGTACTGAGTCCCTCCTAAGTGTCAAGGCCAGCCTCCGCTGAGAGGCTCAATTCTCAGCCCTGGAGGTTTTACAAAGAACCCACCTTAAGGTTGTGAAGGCAGTCGATACATCTTATTTTGGGATATCTGGAGAGAAAGCGTTCGATAAATCATTAATGCTTTTTATATACAGTAATGCAATAATGCTCTTTTAAAATCGATCCCCTACACCTCCTAGTTACTTTATATAGTCTATTGAATTTAATTACCACAAGAGCCATCCCAGGTAGGTATGATTATCTCTCATCTAAGAGAATTAAAAAAAAAAAAAAAAGTTGGCTGAGGGAGGCAAAGTAGCGTGCCCAAGGTCACGCGCCCTGGAAGAGGTAAATAAGATGTTGAGGGTCCAGTCAGCCTGGGAGCACAGGCACAGGTGGGGCTTTCCATAAAGGGCTAGATTTGGGTCGAGATACCAGCCTTCTCCCGGAAGAAGCAAGACCCTTTCCCAAATTGTCTCGCCCCAGCTGAGAGTTAGGGGGCCACCTGGAGCATCGGGGAGCCATGGCTGCCTCTCTGGCCATCTCTCCTATTTGTGGCCACAATTTAGCACTCTGGTTTTCAACAGCAGTTACTCTTTTTATCTGTACTGTTCTTCTATTTCTGACTTTAGAATTTTTGTTTTCCACCTGGATATCAGGACCCCAGAGGAGTGAGGGGGAAACCTGACTTTTCCTTTCCCAGATTAGTTTATTAAAATAAAGGTGCTCCAATGTAATTCTCTCTTTTCCCCCTAACTTCCCAGGAATAAGCCTGTCTGCACTTAAGCTGACAAATACTAATGATGTGTTTTCAAGAACAATGATAAAACATTGGCTGGGTTCAGCCCAACTGAAAGTTGAACACTTTTGTACACTTTGGTAGCTGAGGGCTAAACGAATTTCAGATTTGCTTCCAAAATATATAGCCCGCACCTTGCCACATGCATCTAGAAGGCACAGAACTTAATCTGGATTTACCTGTATTGTATTTGAGATGCATATCAAGCCAACCATCATCAGGTATGACTCAAGGGGAAAAATGCATACATCTCAAGATAGCTTTCATAGTTTTTTTTTTTTTTTTTACTTTCTGTGAGCTTTCAGTTTGTAAACATTTTAAAAAATGCCTGTTTTTTTTTGTGATGGGAGATCGATCCAGAGATTTTCATAACACAGTGCTTAGAACTTGTTTACTTTCTAACTTTTTCAGGACCAAACAGAATTAACTGGTCAGTGAAAACTGTTTATCCTAAAGATTCAGATAATGCTTTTTTCGGGTTAACCCAGATCAGCGCAGTTTGGCTCCAGGGGAAGGTCTGCGATGAAGGAAACATTGCATCTGCGAGGTACTGAGGAAAGAGTTTAAGGATCTTTAGCTCTGGAGGTCAAGTTTCTAAGACTCTTGAGCTGGGAGATAGCCTCCAAGCCTTGATCATTTAAATAATTTTAAAACACTTCGCTTCCTTCCGACGCTCTAGGAACTGTTTAGGAAGAATCTGCCGTGTGAGAGGTCCTGAGCCGGCCACCTCCTGTTTACCTCGACACTCTCAGGAAAATCGTTCAGCTTAGGAAAGAGTAACTGCACCCTGCGAAGACTGTTTAGAATCGATATTTTCCGCCCGGCGGCCTTCAGAACAGCGGGGAGATGCGAGGCCTCTTCCTCTGTCAAAACTCACACTCCTCTTCCCGGCTCTGAGATGGCCACCACTGAGGCTCTGGGAGGCAGTCACTGAGGGTGTACCTTGGGATGGGGTAGGGACACTTATGCTTAAAAAAAAAAAAAAAAAAAAATGTCAGATGCAATGAATAGAAATGTGCTTCCCCAAAATGCACCCAGGCCTGGAGTGTGCAAAGTGGAACCTGGTATCTCTGAGATTTGCCGGGGGGAGGGAAGACACTAAATATTATCGGTGGCTTTTCCTCCCTCCTCTCCACCCTCCAAGGCAAACACCAGCACCTAAACACACACTACAAACACAGATTCAAATAAACTCACGAACACACGTTTGCACTCAGTCTTGAGAAAAAAGATCGGACCCGGATCTCTCCCAGAGAGGAAATTCAGGGGCCAAGAAAACACGAACTTACACTTTCTAAAAGTACCCTGATTTTTGTGTAAGTGGAAAAGATAAATACTACTGGTTTAAATTCTCCATTATGAATGATTTAGGAGAGAGCGATTTCTGACCCTCCTTCGGGGTCCCTCCGACCCTTTTTTTCTAGAGGAATGAGTTATAATAATAGTTATAATAATAGCTAATGACGAGATCCTTCTAAGCGCTATGGCTGTATTATTTTCTTTAGCAGGGATACGGCCTCATGCGTTTCTGGATTGACTGCCAGAGTTGTAAACTTAGACCAGTTTTGACGCATAGTGGGAACTTCATAAATGTCAGTTGCGGATTTTTGGAGTGTTCAGCTGTGTGGGGGTCGGGGGGAGGGAGTGGGATGTGCACTGAAGAGGGGTCAAAAGAGAGAAGAAATAGGGACTGGGCGAACTTCCTCTTTAAATAATCGGCCTTAATTACGTCTTGGACTTTTCAGATTTGGCGTGATTATAACCCTTAAGGGATAGCCTAATAACAACTCTGCTGACTGCTCCTGTAATTAACTCCTAATTTATTTCAAACAGGAAAAAAAAAAAAAGGACCCAGCCTCTTCGGGAAGAGCCAATCGGAGGCGAGCGCCCGTGGCGTCAGCGGCAGGGCGGGCGCGGATTGGCTGAGCCGCGTCTCCCACTTCCCCTTGGAGCCCAGCTCGGCTCCCAGCGCCCCTCCCGTCTTCCCCGCAAAAAGTTTGAGTAGCTGCCGCGGGGCTGCCAGCGGAGTTGCGCGCCGGGATCTACGTAGGGCAGGGAAGTCATGGCTTCTCCGTCCAAAGGCAACGACTTGTTCTCGTCCGATGAGGAGGGCCCGGCCATGGTGGCCGGGCCGGGCCCGGGGCCTGGGAGCGCCGAGGGGGGCGCCGAGGAGCGTCGCGTCAAGGTCTCCAGCCTGCCCTTCAGCGTGGAGGCGCTCATGTCGGACAAGAAGCCGCCCAAGGAGGCGTCCCCGCTGCCGGCCGAAAGCGCCTCGGCGGGGGCCACCCTGCGGCCGCTGCTGCTGCCGGGACATGGCTCCCGGGAAGCGCACAGTCCCGGGCCTTTGGTCAAGCCTTTCGAGACCGCCTCAGTCAAGTCGGAAAATTCGGAAGACGGAGGGTCGTGGATGCAGGAACCCGGCAGATACTCGCCGCCACCAAGTGAGTGCGCGCCGGGGTTGGAACTGGGGGAAGGCGGGTGCGTGGGATGCTGGAGGGGACTGGGGACAGGAATTTCAGACCAAGGGCAAGGAGACCCCTCTGCATGCATTGTGCGTCCAGAAAGCAAGCACAGAAATCCCCCCCCCCCCACCCCCGGTCCTTGCACAGGGGAGTTCAGCATGCCAACCGCATCCTAGACACTTCGTAATCTCGAGCTGTGCGTGTCTGGGCTCTCCTCCCTGTACATTGTTCCACTTGAGAGCCCACTGGCTCATCTTTGGAGAGTGAACCCCAGCTGGGTTTGCGAGGTCACCTTGTCGTCGGGTTTTGCAGCCCCCGCGCCCCGGCCAGCCCACTTAGCATATCTTTGTCCCACTATCCCCAGTCTCTCTGCCTGGGGAGTGAGGGGGTTCCACGTTGAATCAACACTTTGGTATGTGTCAGACAGAGTTGTCTTATCTCCTTTCAAAACGTACAGTCCTGTGAGGTGCGCCCCCATTTTAAAATGAGTCAACTGGAGTCTAAGCAGATATTGAGTGAAAATCGTCTTTCGTGAGACTTGCGGGTATCCAAGCCACATCCCACGAAAGGATGATGGAGACACTGATGGGGAAAGGAAAGGTGTCCCTGTGGTCGCCCAAGTCAGAGCCTCCTTGTCGAAGTTCTGCACTTCGATGGGAGCGGGCTGGGGCCAAGAAACTGGAGGGCTTCCCTGGGCTCACAGTAGTAATTAACAGCATTCCAGCAGAGCTTGTGAGTAGATCAAAGATGCTGCTTACCTCACCCTATCTGGATCCTACCTAGAACCCCAAAGTGTAGGTAGAAGCTACCCCCTTTTCCAAATGTGCACATGGAAGCTTTAAGAGATCCTTCTCGTCCCGGATCACCAACAACCTCCCGAATTGAGCATGGGGATCTGGTATCCAAACCCTGCTCCTCTATTTGGTACCTAGGTTACCTTTAATCCCTCTCCCCAAAGACCAGGTCTGCTCCTACCTACACTTCCAGCGAGGCTGGAATACTTTCTCTTCCAGACTTAGTGTGTTTGGGGGCTGTGGAGTCTCTGCAATTTAAAGTCATTCTCTTCAGATTCTTTTAGTTCTCTCCCTTGGCTTTAGGATTTCTCTATTTCCTCTCACCACACCTCTACCCTACCTTCTGGGAAAGCGATAGAGAGTGGGGTCTGTGGAGGGACCTTCTCCATTTCCATGGTTCAGCCATCCAGACAGGAGACGCACAGTATTTTCTGAACAAGACTAGGCTGTAATATTGCCGGCGTCAGTGACTGTCCCCTCTGGCAGTCTCTCTCCACTCTGTTGAAATTCTGAAAGACTCAAAGGGCATGGAGATTAAGGACCCAAAGAATTTAAACTGCAGTTGCACAGCAATTTTTGCTGTAGTATCTTATCTGATCTCCTTTGTAAGGCTGCGGTGGGCCTCTTGTTAACAGATGAGAACGTTTCAACAAAGTTCAGAAGATCAGCAATTGGGGCCTGACTGAAAAAGCCTGGGGACACTTAGTGATCACCTACTGAGTGGCAGGTGGGGCTTGGGCACTCTACCTTTTGACACTCCAAAAGACCCCGAGGATGATATTATTTGCCTATTTTATTGACAGTGAAACCCGAGGCTCAAAAACACTCAGAGACTTAATGTGCTTAACAAATTTTGAGTAACTGTATTCCTGGGCCTGGGGCAAGGCCTGCAGCATCTTAGAGATTCTGCCCTTAATTGGAATGCTACTCAGATGTCAGAAATCTCAGCATCCTTGCCCCTTGAGGGCTTGGGAGGGCAGTTCCCCACTTGCCCCAAGGCACTGTTTCCTGGCCCCGACAAGGCGACCTGTAGTCCAGAGAATGACCTTTCCACAGGAAGAGCTGGAGGGTCTCAGAAAAGATTTCAAATTTAAACCTGTGCCTGGTTGGACCAGGGTGGGCCAGGGAGCACCTGGAGCAGAAGGGAGCCGCCCGCCTGGGCCTGGTTGTGTTATTTGGGGGAAGTAGGATAAATGCTGTTTTGCCTGGTATAATCGTATCTTTCCTCTGGCTGGTTTAAAATGGGGCGGGAGAAGGGGGGAGTGGTGCTTGGAGAGGGAGCCTCAGAACCTTATGGTTTTGATACACATGTGCCATCCCCATTACCGGATTTCACAATTAAATGCAGCCCACACAGCAGCTGGAGTGACCCCTCCCAGGCATTCAGATGGCTCAAAACCCCTGTGTTCAGCCCAGAGCAACTGGGTGCACTGAATTTGTCCTCTGAACCACTCAGACACTGGGTCCTCCTGAGAGCCCAGCTAAGTTTGGGTAGGGAATTTTGTCTGTCTCCTGAGAGTCTTGACAGAAGTGTATTTAATGTGTAAATTCAGAAGGCTCCACACCTCATTCTCTGGCTTATTCAGGGATTAGCATATGCAAACGTCTATAGACTTATGAATATTTCATCCTTCTCCTGGATGTCTGTTCTTTGGTTACAGAACTTTCTACGTCCCCCCCCACCCCCCACCACCACCACCATCACCAGTAAACTGATGGTTAATCCTGTGACACTAGGACAGACCCATCTCTTGTTGAAAATGGAGGCCGGGTTGGGACTTGTGCTGTGTCACTCTCAAGTATGAAGTGTCAACTCTTTCATGGGCCACCAAAGTAACTAAACTAGAAATGCGACATTCTCCCTGGAGTACACTGGAGTTGCTACTTTGGCTACATTTAGAAAATTAGCATAGCTCATAAAAGCCAAGTGCAGAAAATTAATTGTTTAGCATTCTGTTCCTTAAGCTGTGTTCTCCTCCCCCTGCCCTTGAGGAAAATAAGCCTCAAGTTAGTAGGTGTCCTAGCATCCTAGGAAGTGCCAGCCTGAGACTTCCTATAATTGAATCCAGTTTAAGAGTCGAGTCTGGATGCTGTTGCCATACCTTTATTTTGCTTGTTATTCTCCACTTTTAAACTCTGGTGACAAACTAATCATTTACACATTTCCCTTAAACCATGGAACGGGTAGGGATGACTAAGATGTCATCATGTGCTCTCAATTCGGAGGCAGTGTGATTTCCCCAGACATGTACATTTATGGGTGAGCTAATTTTCTCCTCTTAGTAAAGTTTATATTACTGAAGCACCCAGCCAAGAAACTTATCCCACTTCCAGATCTGTAAAATGATGTTCATGTTCGGGTTTTATAATCTGAAGACTGGATGGAATGACAGCCTGTGGTTGCTTATGGCATGAGGCTGCCCCCACATCCACAGATCCTATTAATTGACCACAGGCCTTATCTGTGTGATTATCCTCCGGAATATGCTGATGCAGTCCAATGTTCCTGGGTCAGAGGGGACCAGGGAAGGGCTAACCCAGTGTCTGGGGCCCCTTTCAAGTATTTACTATTCATGGGAGTTTAGGATAAACATAAACTCAGCCCCCCCCCCCCCAATCCATTTTAAAGACAGAGAAATTAAACTCAGAAAGTTTTATTTCTCAGAAGTCAGATCCCTTGACTTAGGAGAGCGCTCTGTTTCTGTGAGTTCTATTTCCATTAGCCTCAGTGCTATTTGTTTTCCAAACAGGAAGTTCCACAACATCATTCAATTCCCCAACTGATTTTTAAAAATAATGTTAAAGGGGCTGGAGATATAGCTCAATTGGTAGAGTGCTTGCCTCCCATTCACAAGGCCCTGGGTTCAATCCCCAGCACCAAAATAATAATAATAATAATAATGCAACTTATCAACTTGAAATTCTGTCCTTCCCTATCTGTCTCTCCCCTCCCCCCGAAAAGAAACCCACATGGTTTTGACAGAAGTACCTTTTCCGATAGCTCAAACAGTGGGTGTGTGGGAGAGACAGTCAGGGCGAGCACAGGGTTTTCTGTTAGGCCTGCTGGCCGATTTGGAGAGAAGACGCATTTGCTAATCCAGTACCCTCTCTGTCCTCTAGGACACATGAGCCCCACCACCTGCACCCTGAGGAAACACAAGACCAATCGGAAGCCTCGCACGCCCTTCACCACGTCCCAGCTCCTTGCGCTGGAGCGCAAGTTCCGCCAGAAACAGTACCTCTCCATCGCGGAGCGCGCGGAGTTCTCTAGCTCTCTGAACCTCACAGAGACCCAGGTCAAAATCTGGTTCCAGAACCGAAGGGCCAAGGCCAAAAGACTGCAGGAGGCAGAACTGGAAAAGCTGAAGATGGCAGCTAAACCTATGCTGCCCTCCGGCTTCAGTCTCCCTTTTCCCATCAACTCGCCCCTGCAAGCAGCGTCCCTGTACGGAGCCTCCTACCCTTTCCATAGACCTGTGCTTCCCATCCCGCCCGTCGGACTCTATGCCACGCCAGTGGGATACGGCATGTACCATCTATCCTAAGGCCTTAAGACCGGATCCAGAGACTCCAGGACGGATATTCGTTTAAAAGGGTTCCCCTCTCTCAAAGAAGGCGACCAACCCAGTCCTCCTGCAGCGGAAATTTCAGGCACCATTTGAAGAAGCCGCTGGGCCCACAGGGCCCCAAGTCATAGTTTGAATTTCTTCTTTAGGTGGGAGGCACCAACGTCCTGTTTACACGGTGTCATATCCTAAATGCCCCCTTCTCCTTTCACGAAAATTGGCTCTGGCAGTTTCTATGTATAAATATATATATATAATAAAATATAAGACATTTTTATACAGCAAAAGTAAAAATTCAAATTATTTTGAAAGGCAAAATTTATATACATATGCATTTTTCTATATATCACCTTAAAGAGACTATAAGTCTATTTGTTGTTTTCTTAAAGGGGGGAGACAGGTTATTTGCAAATTGGCGCAAATTTGGTAGTCTTGATAGGCTGAGTTGACTTCTGCTTATGGAAATCAAATACTAGAATTAGACAGGATGCATATAGGAAGTAGGTAATGGGAAGCTTCTGGCGAATTCAGGAGATAATATAACAGGTTTGCATTTTATGTGCATAAGAAGAAGCTTGTGAGGTGCTACCAGATTGGACTCTGTTTCCCTCCTGCATATTGTTGGCTTTATCATTCTTTTTCCTAAGCTTGAAAAGAGGGGGATGAGAGTAATCCTGAGACCACCCCAGGGCAAGGTAGAAAATAGAAATACTGCCTAACTTCTCTCAGTGCTGTGCTCTTTAACTCCATTTCGGGTCATCAGAGAGCAAAAAAATAAAGCATATCAGAAGAAATTGATTTCTATGGAATACTAGGTACATCAACTCACACTTTGCAAAGATGATTTTTTTTTGGGGGGGGAGCATAAAAGTGTAGTAATTTTCTGCTTAAAAAAGCAAGTATCCTGTAACCATTACCTATGCTAAATATTCTTGAACAGTTAGTAGAACCAGGAAGGGAAAAGAAAATCATGCTTTCTCTGTGTGTGTACCTATTGTATGTGCTAAACTTATTAGGAAAAATTTACATACTTTTTAACATGTTGGGAGCAGAGGGTAAAGCCACCCTTTAGCTTGCTAAAAAGTGTTGTCAAACAGCCCAATTAGCGCCCTGGTGTGTCACCTTTGCGTCCATCTCCCTCCCCCAGTACACGTTCATCCCTTTGAAAGGGTACATTGTACAATTTTATATATTTTATTGAAGAGTTATTTCTTATCTCGTATTCTGAATTAAATTAAATGTTTGTTTTATTGCAGTAAAGTTTGTCCTAATTCACAATTATTTAAAAAGGAGCTATTTATTCTTAGCTGGGCTTAGCTCAAAAATGCTACCCATGAGGGAGGGGGGCTGGTACTTTTAATTATTGTTTAATTTGAATCAATCCAGTGTTGTAGCAGCATGAGGGGAGGAGTCAGTTGAAAACCTTGAGATGCTTTGAAATGTTTCCTCTGCAGCTTGTGTTATTCATGGAAAAGGAGGAATTGCTGTTTAGTATGTTTTCAGACTACAGTGAAAATGATCTTAAAAAGAAAGGGTGCAGCAGAGGTCAGAATCTGAGTAGTTTACAGGTGATCCAGGGAAAATCTTGAACTTGAAATCTTGGAGCTACCAAAACAATTGACCACAAAAAGTTGAAAGAAAGGGACCTATAGCTTTTCTCTGGAAAGGAACTAGGTGCATCTTTGGGTTGGAGGGAGGCACCTGGCTACCTTCAGGAGGGTGTCAGGTCGCATTCTATTTGTCCTTTCTATCTTACCCAAGGAGAGGGACCCCCAAACAAATGCTATTTCTCTTTGAAGGGTGAAGGTGGTTCCTTCCTGTTCCAGCATCCGGATCCCTGTGGAAACCGATGCAGCACAGCAGCACCAGTCTTGGGTTTTGAGGGATCCCCATTAAAACTAAATGGTGATAGGTGGGGGGAGACTGGGAAGGATCTTAAACTCAGTTTTCTGTTGCACAAATAAATCAGAAGTGGCTGCTGAAGATACCTCTCCGAGGGCTTCAGAGACCTTGGGGGCAGAGACAGAAGCCCAGCGAGAACTTTGTGTTGCCAGTTGGCACGGTGGGGAGACGCACCCAGCATCGACTAGGATCCGCACTCTCCTCCCCAATTTCGGTCGTGCTGGACCCCCCTTTCGAAGTGGGCGCCGGAAGCCCCTATATTCGATGGGACAGGGACTTTTAGGAGTCGGGCCACTAGTCTCAGGGGTTTCTCAGCTGCAGCGCGAAACCTGAGCCCAACCGAGGGGTCTGCTGGAAATTCGAGGCCGATTTCCTCCGGTTGGCTCGCTCCACTTGGAGCTGAGCTGCGGAAGCGCCCCCAACCCACCCAAACTTGTTCCTCTGCCTCCCTCTGGGCCTCTAAGGGCCCACGTCCGAGTCCCAGATCAGAATATAACCATTTTCATTTAAGGGATGCATTTTCCCAAAGCTAAAATCCTTCCCGGTTTCGTCATCAGCCGCCGAGTTGGGTCCCTAATTAGCTTGTCCTCGGAACTTCCTTCCCGGCGCCGGTGGGACCTGCAGCCCGGGGCGATGTTCCCCGGGAGGGGGATCCGGAGAGGCCAGCTCCGGGGAAGGCTCAGCTTGCCCCTTGGAGAGGTCCGTCATCCCCTGTCCTATTCGGAGAATCAGGGCTGCTTTTTGCATGACCAGCGGGGTAGGCGAATCAATCTGGTACCTGGGCACCCCGCACCGCGCCCATCGCCTCAGATTAAAAGAAAACTGGGGCTCGGAGATGGGTTGTGGAAACAGGTTACACAAGAAGCACTTCAGCGCTCCTAGGTCGATGGGTTACAGCGTCCAGGACCAGGCCCATGGTCCGCCCATCAGGACCACGCGCCTTGCTCTGCGGCCCCTTTCCACCCTTCTGTCCCGCGTGGAGTTCCGCGTCACCAAGTTTCCCTGGCCTCAGGCTTGGTGCTGGCGTTTTAGAGGCCAGATTGACAACCAGCGCCTCTCGAAAGACCCACACTCAGACAAGCCCCTTGCAGACCAGCATTGGAAGTGAACGCTGAAGAGGCCAGCGTGAGATCTTTGGACATTCTCAAGTGACTGCCAGGAGCCTGGCACGTAAATGCACCTGCCCTTCCACACTTTAAACGCTTTCTTCCAAAACTTTCCAAAGAAAACACTCTTCTTTTTTTAAAGCGGGAAAGAAAGCAGGGGACATCGCCTTCCAGAGCCCCTGCTAAGTGAGGAACTAGGCATTTTGGCACAGGTACTCTCATGTAATCGGTGCACCCCTTTTGGAGAGGTTTACAGTTGTTATTTTAAAGTCGAGGAAACTGAGGCTCTGGGAGGTGGCTCACTGAGGTCACAAGGCTGGCTGGCGGCAAGGGAATCTAGGCGGAAGGGTGAGCGGAGCAGTGTGGGTACCAGAGTTGGCAAGGCAGGCCTCCCAGAAATGACGCAGGGATCTGGAGAGCCCAGGCTTGGAGTGTCCTCTGGTCCCCATCCCTCATTGCTGTGAGGGGCTTCTGCCAGGGTCCCAGCTTGTCCACCACGTGGGACCTGGGGCTGAGCCCTCCCCCACCCCTCCCGGCAGGCCGCGCCTCGGCGGTGCGGGGGCAGGGCCGCAGGAGGTAGGCGAGGGCCTGGCTGAGAATGGCGCTGGCGGAGCGTCTGCCTGACCCGACTGAAAAGAGGATCCCTGCCTTTGAGCAGAACCTTGTCTGACCGAATGAAAACTCCCACGGCCATTCTTCGCTATAAAAGCCTCTCATTTGCCACGGGTTGGAGAGGCCATTCCCCCACCCCCATCCCCTTTCCACTGCTGGGTTTGAAATAAGCATAAACCTCATTTATAAAAGAACCCACGTCACAAACACACCCCCCTCCCCAAAATCACATGGCCTGGTTGGTGAAGTCAATTGTGCCGTTTGCCCCCTTCCATGTAAGGAAAAAAATGAATAAATGCTGGGATTGGTGATGCCCCAGGCCTCTTAATGAAATAAAGTAGTCACAGCGAGGAGGGAGAGAGCCTCCTGTCAACTCCTCTGTCCCCTCTTCCACCCCTGCCACCGTCTCACCTCCTCCCTCCTAGGAACTAAATAAAAAGCAGTAAAATTACTTTCAAAATAACCCGCTTCAAAGCAGAGCAGAGGACCAGGCTACGGGAATCCTGAATCTTGCCCTGATAAGGTTCCTAATAATCAAATCCAAACTTCATCCACCTCCTCTGACTCTTTCCAACCTCCTCCGGACCTCTCTGCATTTGTGGATGAAAACACTTTGATGTCCCAGTCCTCCAAACAATTATTATTATAATTTTAAACAACCTGGTATTTTCCATTACTAACGGCTCGGGCTTTGAAGTTACACCTCATAATTTCCTAAATTAAATAAATCATTTTAAGTTTGCACTGGGAGGCTTTTAATAGCAGAGAAAGGAATATCATTATCTTATTGAGACCCAATTGTGGTGGCTCCAGTTTGGCTGTAGCTAGGGGCAAAGTAGGCTCAGTCTAACAGACATACTTTATTAACCTCCCATAACTCTTGAAAGAACATTTTTATATTTTCTTTGATTTCCCCCCTCCCTCTCTTGTTTTAAAGCTGTCCCAACCTTTAATTAGTGCCTAATATGAAAAGCATTATTTTTTTAATGCTATGTAATTTACCAGCGGCAACAGGCCAACTTAACAATTGTTTATTAGACTTGGTTTTTCACACAGGGCAAAGAATGCCGCTCCAAACCCAACTTTTCATGGGTGGTTGCACTAATTAATACAGTGTCTGAGGCTCCTAGGGGGTTTTTTAATATTGAAGCCTATGGGGGCGGAAGGGGGTTTTAGAAGTCCAGCTCCTGCCGACCACGTTCTCTCTGATTTCTTTCATGCTGTTTTGATCCTGTCTGTGGAGTCAGCACAGACAGAAACTGTGTTCCCTGGCTCCAGAGACTCCAAGATCCCGAGGCAACCGCCCGGGAACCCCCAGCACCTCCACTTGTGATTTATGACTTGTGGGGCCCAGACTTGGGGTGCAGGGAGTCGCCCCTCACCCAGCCTGAAGGGGTAGGGAGCTGGTGGTGTTTGGGTTGGCCCCAGCCAGGCTCTCAGGGCAAATGTCTGCTCCCCGGGACACCAGGGGCGCTTGGCTCTGGGCGTTGCGTTTGGGGCTGCCTGAGGCAGGCTGCTTGTGGGTTGGGTGGGGGAGCCACGGAGGGATCCGGCCGGCTTCTTTGCTGCCTTTGCGTTCCTTCTCCGTCCTTCCCCTCCATTTTCCTCATTCTTTGTCGCCCATGTCCCTTTCTCATCTTTGTCCCCCGCCCCTGTGTGCCTCCTTT